TTAGAGGAATTTGGGAAGTGGAGTTGTGTACACAGTTTCAGCAGCTGGACAGGACGCGCTTTGAGACACTATTCACAGAGAGTATTCATGAGGAAGAACTTCGTTTGTTATTGACGTTCTGCTGGAATTACACCTGAATCTGGGAAAAAGAGGCAAAGTGAAATGATCTTCTCCTTTCTGCCACCTCGTCTAGGCTTCTGTGTGCTGGTGGTCTGTGTTAGAATATACATACACAGCTGTAGGCAAAGGTTTGAGCTCCCCCGGTCAAGTTACATGTTTTGTTGATTTTCTAAGTGAATATAATTCTCTACATAGAATTGAATGCAATCTGACATTTTTCTGCAAATTTGAGTGCAAATTTTTCTATTTATTTCTGAAATTTAGTATATTGGGGAAAATTAAAACAGGAACTATTAAATATGCCATAACTTTTGCGCAGGCCATATTTTATTATTTAACAAAATCATCCATCCATCCATCATCTAAACTGCTTATCCTTCTGGGTCGCGGTTGGGTGCTGGAGCCTATCCCAGCTGTCATCGGGCGGAAGGCAGGACACACCCTGGACAGGTCGCCAGTCCATCGCAGGGCAGACAGACAAACATATACTAACAAAATCATATTTTATGATTTTTTTGGCCATCCAATTTGTTAAATTCAGCAAATAATGTGCAGAAGTGTGTTCTCTGTAGAGGATGTGTTAATGTATTTACACAAAAAAAAGCAACAACATGGAATTTCTGTGTGTATATGAAATAGGTATGCGTTTGGGTTTATGTATGAGTTTCCAAAACTGGAGTTCAAAGAACAATTAAAATCTACAGAGAAAATGGGGCTCCTAACAACCACCTGGAAGACCTGCTAGACACCAAAACTGACCCCCATCAGATAAACAGCACTTAAAGCTTTCATCTTTGAGAGAGAGGAGAAAATCAAGCTGCTTCAGATCTGAAAACGTCCACAGGTGTTTCTGTCCATCCTTCCACTGTGAGAAGACGTGCTATTAACTGGACATCTGAGATTTAGAGTAGGGTTTTATAGACTGAGTCTAAATTTATTGTTTGGATTATTTGGATGGGGAGGAGCACAAACTAATAAACCAATTTCTAAGACTGAAATTTGGAGGTGTGTCTGCAGATTTCTTTGAGAAGCGGAAAGTGAGTCTCCTGAAAAGAATGGAAGCTGTAATAAAGGTACAACCCCTTTTCCAAAAAAGCTGGGACACTGTGCAGAATGCAAAAAAAAATACAATGATGTGCAGATCATTTAAGCCCTATATTTCATTAAAAATAGTACAAAGACAACATATCAAATGTTGAAAATGAGAAATTTTATTGTTTACTGAAAAATATATGCCCATTTTGAATTTGATGCCTACAACACGTTCCAAAAAAGTTGGGATGGGAGCAACAAAAGGCTGGTAAAGTTGTGTAATGCTAAAAAAACACCTGGTGGTGGTTGACTGGCAACAAGTCAGTAACATGATTGGGTATAAAAAAGCATCCCGGAGAGGCATAATTACATTAAAAGATTCAGAGAATGTGGAGAAATCTCTGTATGCAAGGGACAAGGCCAAAAACCAGTATTTGCTGGCCATGATTGGGCCCTCAGGTGGCACTGCATTAAAAACAGACATGATTCAGTGGTGCAAATCACTGCATGGGCTCAGAAACACTGCTGAAAAACACTGTCTGTGAAAACAGTTTGTTGCTCCATCCACAAATGCCAATTAAAACTCAAACGCAAAGAAGAAACCATATATAAACAGGATCCAAAAATGCTGCCACCTTCTCTGGGCCCAAGCTCATTTAAAATGGACTGAGGGGAAGTGGAAAAGTGTCCTGTGGTCCGATGAATCAACATTTGAAATTCTTTTTAAAAATCATGGACACTGTGTTCTCCGAACTAAAGACCACTCAGCTTGTTATCAGTGCACAGTTCAAAAGCCAGTATTCATGATGATATAGGGGCGCATTAGTGCACATGGCATGGGTGATGTGCACATCTGTGAAGGCATCATTAATGATGAGCAGTATATGTACATGTTTTGGCAACATATGCAGCCATCTAGACAACGTCTTTTTCAGGGAAGGCCTTGCTTATATCAGCAAGACAATGTCAAACCACATTCTGTACGAACTACAACAGCATTGCTCCATATTTAAAGAGTCCGGTTGCTAAACTGGCCTGCCAGCAGTCCAGACCTGTCACCACTGAAAACATTTGGTGCATTATGAAATGGAAAATATGACAAAGGAGAACCCGAACTGTTGAGAAGCTGAAATTCTATATCAGACAAGAATGAGAAAACATTTCACTTTCAAAACCACAGCAGCTGGACTCCTCAGTTCCCAAACGTTTACAGAGTGTTGTCAAAAGAAGAAGTGATAAAACAGAGTGGTAAACAGGCCCCCGTCCCAACTTTTTCGGAATGTGTTGTTGGCATCAAATTCAAAATGGGCTTAAATTTTTCAAAAAACAATAACATTTCTCAGTTTCAACATTTGATATGTTGCATTTGTAGTATTATCAAAAAAATATGTTTTACATGATGACACCTAGCAAATGAGGTTGTAAAAAAATTATATTACATCCCAAATGGAAAGAAAATGTATGTGGTATATCAAAATATATTTGAAAATGTATAAAATTGGCTAAAAAAATGATTTGTTGACTTGTTAGTCAACTTTTTAGAAAGTACTTTTTTGTTTGTTCCGATGAGCCATTTTTACAGTTTACTTTACAGTTTTAAAGACATTTCAGAAAAAACAGTATATTTGAAATATATTCCACATATATAAAAACACATGACCAAGTATGTATTTCCATGGGAGATTTACTTGTTGAGGCTAAATTGTCTGTTGAAAAAGTGTAATAGGAACATATTACTCACAATATCTTACAATTTAAATTTAAATCTTTACATTTTTTACTTGAAATTAATTAAAAGATTGGTGGTCTCTGAATTTTGCACAGTACTATATACCTACACTGTAAAAATGGTTCATCAGATCAACCTTAAAAATTTACTTCATGTGGTAACAAGTAACTTACCTAGTGTTATTCATCCTAAATAAATACTAAATTTAAATACTAAAGTTGAATAAAACTAGTTTAATTGCTTGTTACCACATGAAGTATTTTTTTAGGTTGAACTGATGAATCATTTTTAGTGTTTTACTAAATATGCAATATACAATTTCCTCAATTTTATTTGATATATTAATATAATAAACAGACCATAAATATACACTGTAAAAAATGGCTTGTCTCTTCAACCTAAAAAATGTACTTGATTTGGTTACAAGCAAGTGATCTAGTTTTATTCAACTTAAAAATTGACTTTGATTTAAAAATTGTTCATTCAAATTATTAATTCAAGTTAAGTAAATTAGTTAATTTACTTGTTACCACATGAAGTATTTTTTTTAGGTTGAACTGATGAACCATTTTTTACAGTGTAAATATATTTATATGTTTTTAAAACTTGTCAGTTGTTTAGAGGTAACAGTAACATGCTGATTGAACCGGTTATCAGAATTTAGAAATGCTGTACACAAGCAAACTTGCACTTTCTTCAGTGTGGAACTGGGGGAAACTTTGGGGACATAAACTTCTTCCCAATGGTTTCAAATATTTAATCACACGCTCAGATATGCAAACACATACATGTGCCCACGCACCATAACTATTTAATCTATTTAATTGAACCTGACTTTGAATAAGTAAACAAATGAGGAAATTCACAAGGGGCACCTGATCCCCGCCAAGCTAATGGATTGAAGATTTCTATCCCGTTGGGGTATTTGAGTAAACACGGCGGGCTTATCTCCAAATTGACATGTTGCAGTGGCATCTGCATCAAGTTTCTGCACTAAAGAGGCGTTGAACTCTTGATACGGCCTTGGTGACTTGCCAGGCCGGCGATTCGCCGACTCAGCCGGATCGCTTTAATTGCTCCAGTTCCATTATCTGTGCCCTGATATAAGATCAATGTGATTAATCTCGGAAAATAAGAAGTAAATATCCAAGACTAGCCAGTTCCTCTGCCAACGTGAAATCAGAGGAAGCTGGCATTCACTTGAAAAAGTTATATGATTCAAAGGTTCGTTTTCACATGAACTAAATATATTACATCAGCACAACTACTGTCTTTTAGCTCACATACTTTGGGCCATAATTGTGTTGATATTTTATTCAGGCAGAGATGGTATACAAATCGTCTTTCTTTGAGGAAATGAAGAAGCATGCAATGCACGTACAACCAAAGGATCTAAGCCATGAAGTGGTACCATTGCTGTATTTCACTGACAAATTTATTAAAGACCTGTATCACTTAATCATAATTATCATCATCATCATCATCAGAGAGAATAAATAAGACATAAAACATCTTTCACATAAACAAACACTTAGATTAGCCTAAGGTCCTGCTTGCCCAGGCTGTTTCAATAGAGTGAAATGAACAAGATACATCTGAAAACACACAAATGCATAGAAGTAGTCCTATTGAATAACAAGAGACAACAACTACAACTTGTCTATCCCTGTTTTTTTTTAAATGTACAAAGTCCTAAATATTTTTATTTCTGTATTCATGATGTCCAAGAAGGGCTGTATAAAAATAAAGACTCCACAATGCTGAGTTGCGATATACTGTATATATAGACATTTGGCAACGACCAGACACTTCGACCAAAACTGGTGATGTTACACTTAGACATCAAGAAGAGAAGGGAGAGATAAAGTCCAGTCTTAGAAATGTCTGCTTTATGGGTCAGACATCTATGCCAGCTGTAAAGGGACAACGTCCTATAGTTTCTACTTTAATGCACCAGTGCTGATGGTGCCGTCCAATGGGAAAAATGGAGCTATCTGGATTGTTTTTGTCTCAGGCATCTTGGTAACACTGACTTTGAATGTTTCTTTTAGCTTTTGTTGTCTTCTTCTAGGCTCTGTCACCTGTAACCAAAATGAGTATTCTTTATGTCATTGCTGTATTAAAAGGCAAACGAACGCCCATTTCCAGTCTTTAGGAGGTACAAACTGTTCTCAGTAATGATGTTGTGTTTTTGTAAAACCTCACCAAACAGATTGGACCCAAGAAGTCTTTTTCTGGATCGTTTGACTGGAGTTTTGGGTCCATTCATGTGGAGTCTCTCTCCTGTCCAAAACTGCTACTTCTTTCACCATGCAGACGACAATAAAGACAATGATTCTGACATTACAGCGAAGTGACAGTTCCTCCAGCAGTCATCCTCTGAAGTTCTATCTCAAGAGACAACTCAACTCGAGCCATTCCATTACTTTTCAGCCATTTCTGCACAGTTCCTCATCCACAGTCATCAAAATTGACTGTGATCCACCTCGTCCAGCCAAGATGCCGGACTTGCCGGAAAGTCTGGGTACCCTCCGCTGCTTCCGGTTGAAATATCTGAACTGGGCCCATTTCCACCACCCACCATCCGCACAGCTGGACCCATCCCAGGACCCCCGCCGCCCTGGCCCACCATGGACAGGCCAGAGTCTGGGTAGACCAGGCTAGAGATGAGGGGCTGTTGCCTAGGGATGGCCTGTAGGGAACCTGGGGACTGGGGCAGGCCGTAGGGACTGCTGGATCGCAGATCATGAAACTGGTCCTGGGATTGTAGAACGGCTCCAGGATCTAGAGGAAAAGGAGCGTGAGGTCCACCCTGTCGGCCCAGAGCTGGGGAACTGTCACTCAGGCTGCTGTAGAGGCCGTTAGAGTGCCCCAGATCAGACATAGGAGGCTCATCTGTACAGACAAAAACAGAAAGACGAGTGAGAAACTTCAGTTCTGTTTCAGTTTTTACTCTTTGGGAAATTATTGAATACATCATAAAATCTCATTCAATTTGGTTCGATGTGATCATTTAAGTTTGGTTCAATATTTTTAATAATGCTGAAAAAATGACTGGAGGAACTTATTGACCTTGTAGTAAAATACAGGCAGTAAGAACTTTTACAATACAACTTTTTTATTTTGCATTTGAAATTGGACGAATAGTTTTATTTTAGGCATTATTGCAATATTATTATAATTAATTGTGACAAACTGTGGTAGAGAACTGGCTAAAGAGTAACTGATACATTGTGCAGATACATTGTGAAGTCGGCAATGTAAATCCGCATCTATATGGTCAGTATCTCTGATAAAATGACCCTAAATGTAGGTAGAAGGTTACATATATAGATTATATAGAATATATAGTTTACATATTGATATTTGAGCAAGATTGACTTTTATGCTGTCTACTAACTGATCGCTCTGTACCTGTAAAAGAAACCTCAGCGTCACTGTCCATGCCCTCCTCCTGGATGCTGTCCTTGTCAGATTTGGAGCTGCCCCTTGACCTCTTCATGTTCCGAAAGTACTGTCCCCACCTCTGCCTTCCTGCGTCCTTTTTCAGTCTCTTCTCTTTTGCCCTTCTGTTTTGGAACCACACCTGTGGCAGGAAGGAACAGGTTGTAGAGTTTGTTATCATTTGCACACATATATATTAACAGTAGTGATATGTTCCTAACGTTCCTGTTCCCAGAAATCTCATTTAAATAATACATATTTTTAAAAATTCATTATTTTTTAGATTCTAAAAATTGTGTAAAAACCTTGTTGACCATTACAATTCCAGTTTTCTTCCTGGAACTATGAAAGCTCTACTTTTAAGCGCAAAGTCGGCGACATTAACGTCAAGAACAGATTAATTTTCAAGGTCTGCGGGGGGTCTTTTTTTTAAACCATGGTGGTAGATTGGAGCAGTGGGAAGAACATAACGGAGAGACTCCTGCTGCCCCTGGAAAGATTTATCGAGGACGTAATTAACTCACAGACAGCTACAAGTTGTCCTCAACCCCAGCAGCAGACGGGTTACACTGAACGCTTCCGTCCAGACTAGTGATAATGATACTGTGAAGGTTTCAGTGGTCAGTAAAGGGCAGAATTACATCCGCACAGAGCTTTAACCCCTCATTATTGATGGGCATCCACATCTTAAGGCTTGTTATTTAGTAACTACATAGAAAACAACCAAAAATAACAGTCTTGTTATTCTATTATAGGCATTAATATTGTAAGTCTGAATGTTTAGGGATGCTAACACTGCTTTTCAATGGAAAATGTATGAAAAAATGAAAAACTGTCCTGCAGTTTTTGATTTTTTTAATCGCTTAACATTCATGGATGTCCACGTTTTAGGGTGTGATACCCAACTACATGGAAAAACAGGCCAAATGATTGAGTCATTATTTTATTTGCATTAATGGAACATGTTAAAGAATTAAAAACACTTTTCAGTGTAAAAAGCTGTTTTATGAAGCCACTTCTTCATTGAGAAGTCTAACCTACATGTAATTTAATCCCATTAAATGTTGCTTGTAAGTGTTTCAGGTCAGTCAATGCCTTTTTGCTCTTGCAAAGGTTTTTGTAAGACATGCAGGGCCAACTTTTCACCTTTTTGTGAGTAATGGACACTAGAAGCTCTTCCACTTTAGGCCTAAGTGTCCTTGCAAATGCATAAATTAATATATATGGCCACCGTAGGCCTTTTCTCATGGACAATATGCAAGCCTCGCCTTTTAGTATTGTTAACGATCTTCGTCCATTCTCTGCTCTCTGCGCTTCACTGGACTCCATTTACTCATAAATTAAAACAACCCAGCTGCACCAATGGCCCTGCTCTTATTTATTTCAGCACTTCTAATTACGAACATGTATAGTTATTCATCGTATTGTGTTGGTGACCTTTGCGCCTGGTTTATAGTCTGTAGTGATGAACCGAGCTGTTTTGCTGTATGTCTGTTTGGTGAGTCTGCTTCTTGAAGTCACACTTAAGCTACACTCAAGCAAAGACCCTTATTCTACATTTTCCATGTAATTTTTGGTCCACTGAATGATGTTTGTGTGGTTTTTAAGAACAACAGCCATAGTTCTTTTTAACACAGTCATTTTCCATCCTCTAAACTGCTCTGTATAACATCCTTATTCAAAAATCAGAAATTCAGAGAAAACATTCTTCAACTTCAACTTGTAACTTAGGTGTGAAGGAGAGAAGCTAAATACATATACAACGTTCACACATATTCTGTGTACTCAGTATACATTCAGTATACTGATATGTATATCTATCTATCTATCTATCTATCTATCTATGTAAATATATAGATATGTATATAGATAGATAGATAGATAGATAGATAGATATTCAGTTTTTGACATAATTTGAAAATGCATGTTGTCCTTTACATTAGGTGTAAATTTCATGATGAATGGGCCAAAAGAAATGACCCAAAAGTACTTGGAAAAAAGTCTGGTTCCATTGACTTACATAAAAAGTATAGTATGTTTTTTCCTTCTCCTGTAAAGTTACCATTTTGGAAATATGAGGTTTTGATATATATGTGTGTGTGTGTGTGTGTGTGTGTGTGTGTGTGTGTGTGTGTGTGCACTGCTACTCTGGAATAATGTTTATCTTTTCTTACAACACCTCTAATCTTACTGCCCAGCCTAACACTCAAATAAACGAGTAAAGTTACTCCTTACTTTGGTATATTCTTGTTAATTTGCATCTTCTGCATTCTTCCTGCATATGTAAAAAATGACACAATTTGCAGATAAAAGGGAAAAACCGGGGCGGTGGAGCTGACGTACCTGCACCACCCTCATGTCCAGGCCTGTTTCTGAAGAGAGCTGCTCGCGGACGTGCCGGGCTGGTTTGGGCGAGTTGTTGTAGGCGTTCTTCAGAGTCTCCAGCTGTTTGGCTGTGATGGTGGTGCGTGGCCTTTTGGCTGTGGAGTCGGCTTCTGTAATTATAAAAATAACAATAATATTCTTTACCTCAATCACACTTTTCATTTTAGCTACAAAACCTCAAAGTTCTTCACACATGAAAAGAGTGGAAAGCTAAAACATTACAATAGAAAAGCAACATTTATGAAAGTACAGCATTATTACAAATGAAAAAGAGGCCCAGATAATAAGGCATAGGCTAATAATGGAATAATATGTGTTATCTAGATTTGAAAACATTATTAACGTTTCTAATATTTAGGAGCTACATAAGCATCAAATAAACATGACCGTAAAAGCAAACTGAGGGTTATTCTGAGGTCAGCATAGATTAATTTTAACCCTTTCCCTCCCTACAGGCTTAAGATATTATAAGAGTTATCTATAAGAATAAATTGCAAATATATACATATATATACATATATATGTATATATATATATATATATATATATAAAATGCCATTAAATCATGGAACATGCTGCACTGTATACAGGTTCAGCTGAACAATGATATTTACCTATATACAAATACAATCTTTCAAATATAAATATGAATATAAATATAAGTATAATGAGCCCTAAAAAGCTTGAAGGTCAGACCTATTGAAAATATCAGTAACTCCTATTGATTGTTCTGTATCTGCTACTAATTATTTCATGTCTAATATGAATTATTCTTCAACCACTATGAATTATTCAGTATCTATTATCAATTATTTAGTAACTACTAGAAATTATTCAGTACCTACTATGAATTACGAGTAAGATCTGTTAAAATATTAGTAACTCATTAATTATTCTGTATCTGCTAAAATGATTAATCTACTGAGTTATTCTTTAACCACTATGAATTATTTAGTATCTACTATGAATTATTTTTAAGCCACAATGAATTATTTAGAATCTACTTTGAATTATTAATTCTTTTTAATTACTATAAAGTTTTAGCAACTGCTATGAAATATTTAGAATCTACTATGAATTATTTATAATATTATTTATGAATATGCTTTGAATTATTCAGCAATGACTACAAAACTAACACGAAATATGTTTAGCTTACAAGATTTAGAAATTGAAGACGAAGAAGAATCTTTTCATGGAGCTATTTTTTTTTAATTTCTGATTAATGGTGATAATTCAGAAAAGGTCCAGCATTCTTTGCTTTTGGACATATCTGTGGTCAAACCACAGAAACTACAAAACTAAAAACCAATAATAATGAATAAGTAGTATTTGTGTAGATATAAAAGTTTGTCTTTTGTTTTTATCCAAATATTATATGCTTAACACATTAAATGTATTTAATATGGAAACAGAAGCCTCACTCTCGCATTATGGATTGAAGCTGTTAAAATTCAAGCCCTTTTTGTGTTCTGCTTGTATAGACTGGATTCTACTAGATTGTCTGAGTTCCCTGCTATCTGGTCTGTTGGCAGAACTGCACCACACTACGGAATGTTCTAGCTGCTGATGCATTAATCTGTCCCGGCCATCGCTGGGTCTATATATCACGCTCCTCCTGCTCTACGAGGCTCATCTCTTTCAGAAACACCATTTGTACGGCTCCTGGACGGCTGTATGCATTGCACTGGCTGTTATCGATTCGGAGGCTGGCAGCGTGCAATTAGCTTCGCTGGGTCAAACACTTATAGATGACCTCATGACCAGGAAGATTAAGTTCACAGTTAAAAGCGGCCAATCTATATGAGGTCATTGGATTAAAGAAGTTAAAACAATTAAATGCCTCACATGGAGCTGATATCTTAATGTCTTAATGTCAAACAAAATAGACTTCAAGCAGAGCCCATCATCAGCGGGCTGCGGAAACCGGACATGTGGCTGATGTAAAAAAAATATATATTTTTTTTCATAACTTTTTCCTCTTATGTCCAGTCAAAATGGATGGACCAGTGCAGTTAGGATACTCTACCATACTGGTGTGTTTTTCTTCTTAATCACTTTTTTGAAGTTCAAAAATTAAAAAATTTAAAGATTTTCCCTTTAAAAACAGCCGATATTTTTGAAAATGATTTTTAATTTTTTTTTTCAGGGTATGATTATAAATGTTTATCCTCATTTGTGCAGGCAATGCAATTCAGGTCAGCACATGCCTTCGCTGACCTTTGTCTTAATGCTATCATTGAAAGTGCAAATTGTTTAAATTTTATTACATTTCATTCAAATTTTAATTTTGTTTAAATTATAAAATTACTGCTACTACTTTAAAATAAGACTATCTTTATAAATGTTTATGAATGGTTTAAACATAGCTTGTTCATGGTTATTAGTTAGGTCATAAACACTTCATTAATCATTAGTGAGTAGTTATAACACATTCATAAAAAGGACAAAATTGAGCTGTCATATATGCTGAATATGAATATGTGATGAAGCTGACAGGTTTTATCCTAAGCGATGAGGATGACAAAGTAAGAACAATAAACATGAAAATCTGAGGTTTAACTGTATGAATGAATATGGATTTATGATTAGGCAAAAAACAGGTCACTGTTGCCCTTTTTATTTATGTGTTATAAGTGTTCATTAATGATTTTAAGGCCTTTAAGACCTAATTAATGACCATTAAAAAACTCATTTTAAACTATTCATGAATGCTTTAAAAGAGTAGACTTATTTTAAAGTGGTACTAAATTGCTTGTTGTGATTTATTTACATCATAATGTGTTCTTTCATGTCAAGACTGCTTAAATTCCCTTGTATAGTTTAAAACATGTGAGCATGTTTTATTGTTGCTAAATTTCAATTTGAGTTTTAATAATTCAATTCTAGGAAAATTAAAAATTAAATTTAAAGACTGAATTAAAGAATTTAACACCAGGTTATGTCACCAAGATCAATAGATTCACCGATTATGTTTGGTTAACATAATTAATGAATATAATAATCTACAGATACATCACTGATTTTGATACTGAATATGTTTTGGGCTCTTTTTTGTTTTGTTGTTAACTTCAATTTCAGTTTAAGTCATTCAAAAATTCAGCGCAAACAGGGGATTAACTTTATTAACAAAGTTAAAACAGTACATTATTTTTTACAGATGTTACATAGAGAGTGAACAAACATGACAAAAAATTGTTTTGTTTACAAGGCATAACTGTAAATATTTGTCATAATTCATGCAGGCAATGCAGCACAGCCCAGCACGTGAACTTTGTAAATCCTTCTCTTAATCCTGTGACTCAAGGTGTTACTTTAACTTCAACTGTCTATTGATGTAAAAAATTAAGTCTAAAAAAACATGTATTTTGTCTTCATATTCTTCCTCTTATATAAGAACCACTGAGATTCATTCAAATTAGTTCAGATAGCATGAATATTTTGTGTTGTTATCATTCTGTTTAAGTGTTAAAAATTAAAAAATTTATTAGAAGCAGATTAGTATATATAGTATATTAGTATATCAAGACCAGTTAGATTTGATAATTTAGTTCAGATAATATCATTATCTGTTTTTTAGTTTGTTATTTAAACTTCAGTTAAAGTTTCAATAGTTCAAAAATGTAAGATAAACATATTCTTTACATTGAAACTGCGAAGCATTTTTTGTACATGTTTTGTGGAATATATTTGTAAATATTGGTCCTCATAATAAAGGAAGTTTGGGCCATTTTAAACCCACCTCTTTGTTTGGCCGTCTCATAGTCGGCCTTACAGACCAGTCGACTGTCCTCCATCAGGTAGTATTCGTCCCCTGTGGCCAGCTGCCTTTTGCAGACGATGCAGGCGAAGCAGTGCAGGTGGTAAACAAAGTCCTGGGCTCTGCGTACCACCTGGGTCGGGGGGATACCCTGCTGACATGCCGCACACTTCGTCCCAAACCTCCTTTACAAACACAAAGAGGGACAGACAGCTGGTCAGGGATTTCTGACTGTCTTTTCTGCAGCACTCAGAGGACAGAAGCAATAGAAACGCAGCAAAAATTAGAGCCTAAAATGATCAGCCTAAACACTGTGAGTATAAAAAAGGAGGAAAAATGCAAATAATGTTTCTGCACAAATTCAAAAAATGAGAGTCAAAGAATAAAATAAATGGAAACATATGTATATATCCAAAAATTAGCAGATGCAAAATATTGAGTGGAAAAATAAAACGAGATTTATGCATAAATTTAAGAATTTGTAGCCAAATATTGTCCAAAGGGGGAAAAGCTACATTTATGTGTAAACCCAAAAATGTATGATCCAAAATCATGTGAGAAATGAAAAATGTATAAGTGTAGCCAAGCAACACTGTGAAAAGATTTACTGTTTTAAAGATAAAAAAGCAACCTATTATAGTAAAAAGCAAGTCTCTAATAGTAAAATAATATAAATACAATAGTAATAGTTAAAAACATTAATAAAATAAAAATAGAATAGAATTATAGAATAATAGAATAATAACAGCTGAACAATAGAATAGCAATAAAATCAAAAAATATTTTGTCAACTTCTTCAAAAATCTACTTTTGGAGGCAGCAGGGTTGCTTAGTTACAAGCATGCATAAGTCATAAATTTAGCATATTATAAGTCAAAAATGCAAAACTGAAGAGCAGAAAATTAAATTAAATTAAAAATAAAGAAAAAAATCACAACTGAATGTAAGAGTGAAATTTTCACTGTAACTGCCAAATTTTCGTAATTGCTTTGCAAACTGTAATAAATGTTATGTGGATTTTTTTTACAACACATTGCAGATTTTTTAATATACAGTTGTGTTCAAAAGTTTGGCCGCCCCTGGTCAAATTAGTCTACGTGTTTTGTTGATTTTTTTTTAAGTAAAAATAGTTGCACATTATTTATACATTTCTGCCCATTTTAATGTACAATTATTGTTTATTTGCTGATTTTGAAATATATACAAAAACGTTGTTGTGAAATGTGCAAAAGTTATGGCCCATTTTAAATGTTAGGCTTTATTTCTGTTTGTGCTAAACTGGCTTTTACTTTGAAAATCAACAAAAGCTGAATTAGAGCAGGTCTCACTTGAAGAAGTCCTCTTTGCAGTACACGCTGTCTCCTCTGGTGAAGCACTTCTCGGTCAGCTGGCTCTGACAGTCGCTGCATTTCAGACACTTGCTGTGCCAGTGTCGGTCCAGCACCTTCAGGATGAAGCGGTCCACTATGGGCTGACTGCAGCCCGCACATACTGGGATATCTGGTCCACAGAGAGAGAGAGACATGGAGAGAGAGAGAGAGAGAGAGAGAGAGAGAGAGAGAGAGAGAGGAAGAGAGAGAGATACAGTTCATCAATACACTCTTAAAAAATGATGATTGTGCAAGGGTTCTTTAGTAAAGGCAATGGTTCTATTTATATATATATATGTAGTAGCAGTAAACATTTGCCTAAATAACATGCAAATATAAATATGAATATAAACAAGCCTTAGAAATGAGCTTGATAAATAATCAGTATATTAGAGGCTGTAACAGAATCCCGTGTCTATTCTGATAGGCCGAGATTTTGCGAATAGCGCGATTAATGAACGGATAACGAACATTTTGCGAATAATTTTGTGCCCAGTTTACAGTTGCATGCAAAAGTCTGAGCACCCCTGGTCAAACCCCATGTTGGTTTTCTGAGTGTTAATAAGTTACTCCGTAAGTAAGCTGTACAGAGACACACTGCGACACATTTCAACACAATAACCGTTTATTTACTGAATTTAACCTGTCGGGGGAACAACGATAAAACACGGCCTGTGCAGAAGTTATCGAATGCTTTCACAATCTGCTAAACTCGATAAAGAAACAAAAATATTCTCATTTTAGTGATCTGATCACTAAAACGATCAGAAAACTGTTAAATTGCGTTTTAATTTATTTTATATTTTATTTCTTTGTAAAATCTTAACATGAAATTAAGAGACGTTCTGCACTACAATTCACACAAAATGTAATTAATAACAATAATAATTAGTCTCTGCGGAGACCGTGTTCACTTACTTACACTTACAACATCAACAACACGTCATTTGACCGGGGGTGCTCAAACTTTTGCACACGACAGTATGTTGAAAAGCGCTCATGAAGAAAATTTTAAAGACGATAAAAAACCTCTGACATTTACGTCGAGTGAATATGACCAGCAGAGTAATCAGGTATAATAATAATAATAATAATAATAATAATAATAGTAATAATAATAATAATAATAATCTCGTTGAAACGTTTCCATATTTTGAATGAATTAACATCAAATTAATATATTTTTTTAAGAATTAAAGACACACGTGACAATGTTTACCCAAAACGTTTTGCATCTATGCAGAACAGTAAGAAAGAAAGAAAGAAAGAAAGAAAGAAAGAACGAAAAAGAAAGAAAGAAAGAAAGAAAGAAAGAAGCAGAAAAGAAAGAAAGAAAGAAAGAAAAAAGAAAGAATGAAGCAGAAAAGAAAGAAAGAAAGAAAAACGAAAGAAAGAAAGAAAGAAAAAAGAAAGAGAAAGAAAGAAGAAAGAAAGAACGAAAGAAAGAAAGAAAGAAAGAAACAATTGAGGCAGAATTAGAAATGTCTTTTAATGTGTGTTAACTGTATTGTATTGTGTGTATGTGTAATCAGACTGTGCTGTATTGTGTTTTATGGTATGTATGTGTAATCAGACTGTGCTATATTGTGTTTTATTGTGTGTATGTATAATCAGACTGTGATGTATTGTGTGTTGTTGTGTGTGTGTAATCAGATTGTGCTGTATGGTGTGTTATTGTGTGTATGTGTAATCAGACTGTGCTGTATTGTGTTTATGGTGTGTTTGTGTAATCAGATTGTGCAGTATTGTATGTTAATGGGTGTATGTGTAATCAGACAGTGCTATGTTGTCTTTTGTTGTATGTATGTGTAATTGGATTGTGCTATATTGTGTTTTATTGTGTGTATGTGTAATCAGACTGTGCTGTATTGTGTTCTATCGTGTGTATGTGTAATCAGACTGTGCTATATTGTGCCTTATTATGTGTATGTGTAATTAGACTGTGCTACATTGTGTGTTATTGTGTGTATGTGTAGTCAGACTGTGCCAAATTGTGTGTCTGTGTAATCGGACTGTGCAATATTGTTTTATTATGTGTCTGTGTTATCAGACTAGGCTATATTGTGTGTTATTCTGTGTAAATGAAATCAGACTGTGCTATATTATGTGTTATTGTGTGTAAGTGTAATCAGACTGTGCTGTATTGTGTGTTATTGTGTGTATGTGTAATCAGACTGTGCTGTATTGTGTGAAATTGTTTATATGTGTAATCAGACTGTGCTATATTGTGTGTTATTCTGTGTATATGAAATCAGACTGTGCTGTATTGTGTGCTATTGTGTGTATGGGTAATCAGACTGTGCTGTATTGTGTTTCAATGTGTGTCTGTGTAATCAGACTGTAAGTTTCGGTGACACTGAAACACTTTTACTTTGATTAGAGGAGTTAAACACTGCAGTTCATCCACACTAATCAACAAATAAACTGCTGAAAATGCTACATGTTGCAGAGATAAAAGAGGTTTTATGAACGATTATGTACAGAAAATTAAGGAAAAAGAAAAATACTAAAGAAAAAAGAACAAATAAATACCTGCTCCTCGTTTTTAGTAGCTCACTTTCAGAATAAAATGCATATTGGAAAGCTTGCTGGTGTTATACAGTAGCAGAAAATAAGGTTCTTTAAAGAACCAATACAGGTTCTTCATCAGGGAGATTTTACGTTTACTTCATTACAGTTAATACTAACACTGATTAGTAACTACTAACCACTACTACTAATAATAGAAATAATATTAATACTACTACTACTTATAATAATAATAATAATACTTATACTAATAATATTCTGACAACTACTATTAATACTACTACTACTTATAATATTAAGACTAAAGCTTCTACTACTACTACTACTACTACTAATACTAATAATAATAATAATAGTACCACTAATAATTAAAAGGAAACAACTGAAAATAGCTGATCATTCGCTGTTACAATTTTAAAGGCCTGTTAAAATGTATCGAGATGAAATGAGAGTGATTGATCATCAGCGCGCGCTGTAGCCTGATCAGAGCAGGTCAGAACTCTGATGAAGGTCCACATCATCCTCATCATCATCATCATCATCATCAGCAGCAGCAGCACATCTTTAAGCGGACTGGCGCGTGCCTAAGCGTGTGAGCGCGTTTTCTTAAACGTCACGAAGTCACAAACAGGCTAAATCAGGATTTACAGTGAAAAACACACACAGGAAGCTCGCGCGCTACACGATCCACACCTGCGCGCGATCACGCGGAAAGAGATCCTATCACCTTAACTGCGTCACCGAGGGGCTTTCGCCAGCCGCGATTCTGCCCTTTATCTCCTTTAGGACTTTTAAAAATTCATAATAAGAAACAACAACAACAACAACAACAATATATATATATATATATATATATATATATATATATATATATATATATATATATATATATATATACTTTTTAAATTTTGATGCAAAAAGTAAACATTTTTTGTGACTCTATACCGGCTAAGCATACACGCGTGCGCGCACACACACCAAGCAGGCTGAACAGGTGCACGTGGAGGATTCATTATTCATATTACAGAAAGGCCAGTGGGCAAAAAAAACAAAAACAAAACGAAACAGAAAAAAAAACCTGAAAGAAATTTGAGAAAATAGAAAAAAATCATTAAAAAAAAATTAAAAATGGAAAAACTAAAAAATGAAAATTTTACAAAGTGATTTTGTAAAAAAAGGTTTACGCATATAAATATGTATTAAAATAGTAAATTAGCGCGCGCTAACAATCAAAATAAACAGTTTTTTATTTACCCAGCATTCCCAAGAATCACATTGTTATGAAAAAGTTAAAATGAATCAGTCAACATGTTTAATATCTACATCACTGAACGAATGAATGAACGAAGCAATGAATAAATAAAATAGAAAGAAAAAACAATAAATAGAACACTTTAAAAATACAGGCAATTATTTGGGAAATAATAAATAAATAAATAAATACATAAATAAATAAATAAATAAATTCTGCGGTGTAAAATCATGAAAAAGACTGTTCGGCTTGTATTTTGAAACTGTCCGCTCAGCACTTTCAGCTCTGCCTCTACAGAAACACGCCTGATTCTCCTCGCGCGTCACGCGGAGAGAAAGATTAAAAAAGGAGAAAAGTTGTTTTGCACTAGTTTTGCTTGAAAACAAAGACATATGTCCGCGCGCAGATCCTTTAGCCTTAATCCCGCGCGCGAGCACACTGGGCTGTAATCCACAGCATTAGAGCAGCGCGAGCACGAGCACGGCGCAGCGCGAGGGGCGGCAGTTAAACAGCTTTAAAGGTGTGACTGTAATAATAATTACAGTCACGTGACCAGATCAGCAGCATTTCACAGACGTGCTCTGCACACTTAAAGAAGACGGTGCTTTAAGGGTTCTTTGATAGAGGCAACGGTTCTATTTAAAACCATGAGGGTTCTTCTGTTGTTACAGGCTTGGCGTCGTAAAAACACGTTTTGCTGCATAGAACCCGTTTCGAAAAGGTTCCATGCAAAGAAGCATATAAAACACATTTTCCATCAAAGTAAAGAACCATTTCACCATGCAAAGAACCTTTTAAGCACGCAAATGGTTCTTTGAGTGTGTATGGTTCTAAATAGAACCATTATCTTTACTAAAGAACCTTTGAAGAACCATCTTTTCTAAAAGTGTGTTGTGTGTGGTTCTATATAGAACCTTTTTCAAAATGGTTAGCACCAAAAAGGGTTCTGCCACTGTTATGGTGTCAAGCTTGTAACAGCAGAAGAACTGTTTAGTGCTTTTTAGAACCAAGAAGGTTCTACATAGAACCATATAAACATTCTCCATCAAACTAAAGAACCATTTCACCATGCAAAGAACCATTTAAGCACGTAAATGGTTCTTTGAGTGTTAATGGTTCTAAATAGAACCATTATCTTTACTAAAGAACCTTTGAAGAACCATCTTTTCTAAAAGTGTGTTGTGGGTGGTTCTATATAGAACCTTTTTCAAAATGGTTCTGTGTAGCACCAAAAAGGGTTCTGCCACTGTTATGGTGTCAAGCTTGTAACAGCAGAAGAACTTTTTGGTGCTATTTAGAACCAAGATCTGCATTCTACATAGAACCATATAAACATTCTCCATCAAGCTGAAGAACCATTTCACCATGCAAAGAACCATTTAAGCATTAAATGGCTCTGTATAGAACTCACGGTTCTAAATAGAACCATTGTCTTTACTGAAGAACCTTTGAAGAACCGTATTTTAAAGTGCTGTTGCAGATGATGTAAAAACGTAAACAGGTGACGTTAACGCCGCGCGCAGGACCGCTGAAGAGTCGAGCACGAGCTACAACAGAGCGAGAACATTTACACCACACGTGCTGGAAAGCACAGGCGCGAGCGGAGACGCAGGCAGCGTGTGCGAGCTGAGAGTAAATGCGGAGTAAACGAGCGCGCGCCGCAGGTGCAGCAGAGCTGATTAGTTTGTGTTTAGTGTGTAAGTAATGAAGGCGCGAGCGGCTCTCTGTCTGTACCTGTGCGTAAGTCCTGCGCGTGCGTCAGCAGCGCGAACAGCAGCTCTTTGCGCCTGCTCTCCTTCTCCTCCTCCTCCATCTGCACATCCTTCCTTGCTCTGCTCTCCTTCCTCTGCTTCTCCTCATCCATCTCTCCACATCGCCCCCCGGAAACGGCGCGATAAAACAGGGGAAAAACTCAACTCCCTCTCTCTCTCTCTCTCTCTCTCTCTCTCTCTCTCTCTCTCTCTCTTTCTCTCTCACTCTCTCTCTCCCTCTCTCCCTCTATCTCTCTCCTTCCTCTCTCTGTCTCTCTTCTTCCTCTCTCTCCCTCTCTCTCTCTTCTTCCTCTTTCTCTCGCTCTCCTCTTCCTCTCTCTCTCTCTCTCCCTCTCTCTCTCTCTCTCTCTCTCTCTCTCTCTCTCTCTCTCTCTTTCTCTCCCTGTCTCTCTCTCTTCCTCTCTCTCTCTCTTTCTGTGCCTCTCTCTTCCCCTCTCTCTCTCTGGTGGATGTGCTGCTGGTGCGCGCGCTGGATAGTGATGCAGGAGGAGAGCAGAGCTCACTGTGTGGTGTGTGTATTAGATTACGTCCCCCTTCAACCCCTCCTCCACCCGCCCCCCATACCCCGTTGCTGCTGATGAAGGGTTCAAAAACATAGTCTATACACACACACACACACACGTATATATATATATATATATATATATATATATATATATATATATATATATACATACATACATACATCATCTAAACCGCTTATCCTTCTGGGTCGCGGTGGGGTGCTGGAGCCTATCCCAGCTGTCATTGGGCGGAAGACAGGATACACCCTGGACAGGTCGCCAGTCCATCGCAGGGCTATATATATATATATATATATATATATATATATATATATATATATATATATACATACACTGACGTAATTATGCCGTTAATAAAATGTGCAGAAATGTGTTCTCTGTAAAGGATGCGATAACTTATTCACACTCCGAAAATCAACATATAAGTTAAATAAAGGAGGGTGCTCAGACTTTTACACGCGAATGTATGCTGTAAATAATGCGGTGTAATGCGATCTTCTTCTTCTTCTTCCTCTAATTGTTATTGTTGTAAATATTGTTTTTAGGCTGTTTTTATTCCTTTTTTCTTTCGTTTTCTGAAGATCTCAAATTTAATTTCATTCTATATTATTTTGTAAAGAACTTATTTAACATGACTTTTTTTCCTTTTTTCTAATTTATTATTTAGTCCTCGAAATTATTATTATTTTTTTCATTTTCTATTTGTATAAATTTTGTTTATTGATTGATTAATGTATTTTTCTACAACTCGTACTTTTGTTGTCATTCTCATAATGTGCTGAATCTTATTCTTTTTCGTCTCATTATTATTATTATTATTATTATTATTATATACTCCACTTTTCTACACTGTCGCTTCGTTTTACCGATTTTTTTCCTGTCCGTTTTAGTGGTTTTATTTGATGTTTGTGTTTCTTTAGATTTAAAAAGTTAAACCTCGGTCCTCATCACAATAAATAAATAAATAAATAGGCGATACAGCTTCAGCGAACATACCGAGAAAAAAAAACGAACACAAAACGAAAAATATTCATTTATTAGAATAAATTATTTCACACACATCAATTAATCTGACATTAGACATAAACACGTCACTCTAATTGTCTAGATATCATTTTAATATTCAGGGCAGTTTAATTCACTCTGTTAAAATACATTTCAAAAAACGTTTAAAAATTTTAAAAACTTCTCAATATAATTTTTTTATTGAAGAGTTTTTTTTTTTAACTCGAATGGATTATAAACATTTATTTATTCCTAAAATTAATTTAGTTTAATTAGGTTTATTTTAATTATTATTTAAATTATTTTAATTTCATATCATTTGTAGAAGAGAAAGATAAAAAAAATTACAATTATTAAACGTCTTTTTTAGGACTAGAAAATATTTTTCTTCTTCTTCTTCGTCATCATCATCTTCTCCTTCTTCTTCTTCTTCATCATCATCATCTTCTTCTTCTTCTTCTTTTTCTTCTTAATATTATTATTATTATCATTTGTATGAAGTCTTTTTATCCCTTCAAAATTAAATTTTTGTTTTATTATTACTTCAAACAAATACATGTGGTTTATGTTTTAATGTGTTTCGTGCATATTTAATAAAGTTTATAAACACTTTGTGATGATTAAATACTTAATTGATTAAATATGAAATATGAGGTGTGTTTATTGATACAGTATGTATTAAATTATCATGACAGAGCTTTTCGGTTTAGTCTATAAAATGTTTCTACGCATTTTAACACTATTGAATGTTATCATACACTGTTTGTTGTTGTTATTATTATTATTATTATTATTATTACCAAAAATATGTGTTAGTAAATATGCATGTAGGCTATATGTAAACTTTGCAGATCAACGAAGTGTTTAAGGATTTAAACATCCCCTTTACACACACTCTCTCTCTCTCTCTCTCTCTCTCTCTCTCTATCTCTGGGTGACTGAGTGACCCCCTGTGTGGTCAGCCCTGGGGAAATCAGCCTTAGTGGCGCTGATGAATCCAAAATCAATCCCTCATTTCACTCTTCCTCCTCTCCGTGCGCGCTGTGTCTGTGCGCGCGCCTCTTCACTCTCTCCTGTGCGGTCCTGCCGCCTTACTGACCCTCAGCTCCTCACAGACAGACGCACAGCAGCGCCTCAGCAGCTCTGCTACACCGCACACCGGGCGCATTGCCCGCTCGGAGCTGCCTGGACCATCTGGGAGTCGCTGTGCTTTAAACTCGTTCGTGTCCTTTTAGGTTCTCATTGCGTTTATAGTGGATCCTTATTCTGTTTGAGGTTCAATGGATTCAGCGTTTAACCATCTAACGCACGTTATTAACGTAACACTAACTACAGTCTTACAAAATGTGGTTCTACAAGGGTTCTTTAGTAAAGTGAGTGGTTCGAGTTCTGTACAGAACCATTTGCATGCTTAAATGTTTCTTTGCATGGTGAAACCGTTCCTCAGATTGATGGAGAGTGTGTTTCATATGGTTCTATGTAGCACCAAAAAGGGTTCTGCTGTTGTAACAAGACATCATAGCAATAGGAGAACGCTTTTTGGTGCTAGATAGAACCACATACAACACATTCTCCATCAATCTCCAGCACCATGCAAAGAACCATTAAAGCACGCAAATGTCTCTATACAGAACTAATGGTTCCAAATAGAACCCTATCTTTACTAAAGAACACTTGAAGAACCATTTTTAAGCGTATACAGAAGTCATGGTTCTAAGTAGAACCATTATCCTTCCTAAAGAACCCTTGAAGGACCATTTTAAGTGTATACCGAACTCATGGTTCTGAATAGAACCTTTATGTTTACTAAAGAACACTTGAAGAACCATTTCTAAGTGTATACCCAACTCATGGTTCTGAATAGAACCTTTATGTTTACTAAAGAACACTTGAAGAACTATTTCCAAGTGTATACCGAACTCATGGTTCTGAATAGAACCTTTATGTTTACTAAAGAACCCTTGAAGAACCATTTTAAGCATATACAGAACTCATGGTTCTGAATAGAACCTTTATGTTTACTAAAGAACCCTTGAAGAACCATTTTAAGCGTATACATGATTGTTGGAGAGATGTCAAAGGTGAATAGGTGAAAAAGTGACACTAATCTATATTTATTGCAGGTAAAAAACCGAAATATTATGTTTCCTAACAGTGTGCGGACCGGAGAGCAGATATATATGATATATATTTAATATGAAAATATTAAATATGGTTATAATTGTCAGCACTTGTTTATTAAAATGCAGTAAAAACGCGTTTTTTAACGGTTATTACTGTCTTTTAAGCAAAAGCATCATTTATTTGGATGCACGGAGCGCAGTGAGTCTATGGGAACATTTCTGTCCTGCTTTGTAATATTTATTAGCTGTTCATCGTTACTCTGTCCTCGCAAAGCGGCAGGTGCAGCGCGCGCACGCGGCAACCCGATACCCCAGTTACCCCAGAGCGGGGTAAGAGGGGAGGGGAGGGGGGAAGTTGGAAAAACAGACAGCATGGAAGAGAAACAGTTTGTGGATCACATGCTGGAATCTGATCTATGGCAATATATGGATTTCAAATATATGATATATGTTATTATGATATATAAAACCTCGTATCTTCACTTTTTAGTTTTTGACATAATGTAAAAATGTCTGTTGCCCTTTACATTGTGTATAAATTTCATAATGAATGGAGCGATAGAAATGACTTGGAGAAAGTTCTGGTTCCATTGACTTACATTAAAAGTAAAGTAGGTTTTTTTCTTCTCCTGTAAAGTTACCATTTTGGAGATACGAGGTTTTGTTCTAAAAGCACTGATATATAACATCCTCTATATCCAAGTTAGCCATATATATGTCAACTTATTTGAAACTGGCCTAAATATATGTTAGCCATATTAACACATATGCAGCACAAATATTTAATAATATGTGATAGAAAAGGTTCATATCGCTGTTGTCGGAACAAAACCTCGTACCTCCAAAATGATAACTTTACAGGAGAAGGACAAAACATACTATACTTATAATGTAAGTCAATGGAACCAGACCGTTTTCCAAGTAATTTTGGGCCGTTTCTTTTGAAGTTTACACACAATGTAAAGGGCAACGTGTATTTTCAAACTATGTCAAAAACTGAAAAAACGACAGAAATGGAGATACGAGTTTTTTCCGACAGCAGCGATACGTATTGCTCACATTTTCTATATAAGGTTTGTATGCATGTTTGTTTCTTCCACGTGCATCATAATAATGTGAAAATTAGTACGATAGCTACATAATTACACTGTAAATACACGCACGTCATAAGCTATGCAATTAAAGTAAAGCTATAAAATATTAAATTAATGTTAAATTTTGTTTCCTGACACAATTGAATGTTAAAAAGTACACAAATGTCGTAGTAACAGGTATAACTGTACATGGATGTGTGTGTCAGACATATGTATGTTACGCATATATGTCCTTAGATACACACACACACATTTTGAAACATATCGCTGCTGTTGGAACAAAACCTCGTATCTCCAAAATGGTAACTTCACAGGAGA